GTAGTGGTAATTTGTTTCCTTTTTGTGTGTATATATTATATTTAGGCAGCATATCTCATGCTTAACACTGTTTTTATTATTCCTTTGAGCTATATTTTATTTTGTTTAATGCTTGAATAAAGGAATTGATTGAACTGTTGTGTATTTTTTTTTATGACGGAAATTGTGGCGAATTTTTTTTAGTATTTATATTAATATATTCGAGTTTTTTTTTAGAAGTCGTATATAGTCTGTATTTCGACATGTAGTCATGTATTCTAGTAAGACGATAGTAGGTAATTCACCTATCTTTGTAGTAGACACGGATGATAGTGCGATTATATTCTTGCCGACTTAGCCAAAAACGATAAATTAGAATTAGAATAAATAAAAGTTGTTTAATATATTCAAATGCTAGGAGTCTATTAGTCTTTGTGTAGATAAAATGTTTAAATAATGCTCATACAAAATTATGCGCAGGTGCTACAATAAATAAATTTAAATAGGTAAGAATTGTGTTGTATTACTTTCAGAAATCTGACTATTTTAGTAATCTGCACTGTCAACACACTGTCTGTCGACATATGAGACAGAACTTTTCGTGCTATAGGCATAGCGCCCACATATTTGCATGGGCTATAATGTTCTTATATTTGACATAGGCTATAATCTCATATTTATTTATCTAAATATTCAATAGTTTCTTTATACAACTGATTCTTTCATCGATGTTCAACATTATAACTTCATAGATAACTAATCTAGAAGAACTTAATAATGTCAAATGCATCTGCGAATGTAAGTTCAGATTCAACATATAAAATATCACTGTCGTACAAGTTGTAGAGGCGTTGTTATTAAACGCTCTTTCTTACTAAATCAGAGGGCCAAGTGCGAGTTTATTTCACTTCTACTCGATCGTCACGGTGACGGCGTTCGACGCTACGATTGGCCCGCACTGAAATCTCCACCAATCGCAACGTTAAACGCGCTTGCAGTCGAGAGCGAATCGATGTGAAATAAACTTACACTCAGCCCTCAGAAGAGGAAGAGGCTCACGGTGATTTCAAATAAATTAAAAAATATTATTTAGGAACTCTTTCAAATTGACTGAATTATTATTCTTAAACTATTTATAAAAAAAAATGTGTTAAAATAAGAACACTTATTAGTTGTCTTAGATTTAATTTTAGCGATAAATCAAAAAGAAGTCAAAAGGTCATACAAACTTATTTCTTACTTTCGAAGCCTACGTTTTGTTTTCTAAAATGTTTAATCGTCCTGAACACACAATAACAAAAATATTCATACTCAAAAATTTTGGGTAGTCTTCGTTTTCGCTTGTGTTGTATCTATAAATATGAAAGACCAATTGATATCTATGTAGTTGTAGCTAGCACTTATCACCAACTACGAGCTGCGGTGTTGTTGAAAGCAATGTTTCTTAGATACATATACATTTTAACAAAGTAGCATATACCTCGCTTAATTATATTAGGCTTTTATTGTTTTAGGCGACGAGACAGAGAGAGAGAAAAAGAGGAGCTATAGTTTACCTATAATTCAATTCCTGAGTTGCATTGCAGGCGTTCATTGGCGGCGGTAGTCCAATTAGCACCTGCTCTTTTGCCCCATATAAAATTTATTAAAAAGAAACTACTGTTTTAGTTTGCCCAATTTATGTTTAACTATCTTAAAATATATTTATTAAAAATAAATAATGTCCAACAATTTATTACATAATTATGTTTTTGCTAAATATCAACATTGTTTACACTACTATATAGATTTCCAAAATATGGATGATCAACTCCTACTTAAAGTAAATGTAGAGGATGTTCTAAATTAAATAAAATAAAACATTGGCCTAGATTCAAAAGCATTTACATGTCCTTTAGATTCATTCTATTGAAAATGGATATGGGGAGAGCCCCCAGCATCTAAATTAAATAACTGATCGAATTGGTGACATCCTGCTATTACAATCGGCCCTGTTCTTTATATATATATCATTACTGAAAAAGCAGGATGAAGTTTAACTTTTGGTTAAGAACAATGTTACACCTATGCAATATACTTACCTAATAATAATAATTAATAGTGTACCTCATTCACACAACGCCTTCTCGTCCTAAACTAAACAGAGCTGGTACCTACTATCGGTACTATACAACTGATACTTAAGGCATACTGAAAGTTTCTGGATTCTGATAAATAAGATTGATAAAAGACGTTGAAGATGTTTTTTAAAGTATGTTTCCTTGCAATTAATTCATTTTTGCATTCGCTGAAACCACTGTACAAAGCAGTTGGACCAGTTTTAAATTACTGTAAAAGTTAAGTCATTCGGTATCCATCGAGTGCAAAGCTTCCGAACCTTTAGAATTTCAGACGAACATGTAAAATGTTGTGCACTTAGTCATTCCAATGCCTAACAAAACACGAATTTGCTAGCAAGTAATTTTTTTGGCAGTTTCAATAAGTTGTCGCAATGTGTCAATATTTGAGTCTGTAACCGCAGTCGCCGGCCGACCTTCACGTACCTCGTCATGGAGATGATCAAGTTCACGTCTAAATTCTCCAAACCACGAATACACAGAGCTGCGACATGGTGTTTCATCACCAAATGCCAATTTAAGTCTCTGGCAACTCTCTTGTAGACTTAAGCCACAATGAAAATCATGAAAAAAATTGAATGAAAAGGTTCACGAGTTAAATTCATTTTGAAAGCGACACACAATTTTCGAAAGGACATCACAATGAAAAAACAAATGACAGTCTCGCAAATTAAAAAGTAACATGTGCCCAAAGAGTTCCATTTTCGAATTACATAATTGTTTTTTCATTCATCCTTATTGTAAGTGGCCAGATCCAGACTCAGTGTTCCCCACATATAAGTATATATTGTATAGGTACTTTTTTTTGTGAATACACACATATTATACAAAGAAACAGCCAGACTTAATCAAACATTAAATGTTCAGTAGCTGTGGTTCAAGCACACAAATGTTTGTCTTGAGCGGGAATCGAACTCGCGACCTTTGGCGTAGCACTCCGATACACAAATCACTACGTGAAAGAGTTTTTATAGTTGGTTTAAGTGCGGTAGTTTCTGAAACATTGTATTTAATTGAACGTAGGTAAAGTACTAGGAATTTAGTTAATATAAGTAGTTTTTATTACTCCTCGGTCGGACTACGGACTCATCAAATGACGGTATAAACAGCTTGTGGTCGTGGTGATATTTACCTTGGAAAGCGTAGGAAAGTTAAGGAACCATAGATTCCTTTCCGTAAATAATACCTTATCGTATGGTTGATTGACCTCGGACAAATGAATTTTATACCACTACGTGTGCAGATAGTAAAGTGCTATAAGTATTAGTTAAACTTAAAGAATGTTATATTGAATGTATATATAAAATTCTCAGCCATAAAATGTTTGAAACTTGTTAATATAAATTAGTTATTAAACCAAGTTACAACTTTTTCATTAAAAAGTGTTAGAATGCCTATTAGGTATTCTAATACTTTTCAATGAAAAAGTTGTATTGTACAAGAGGATTTGGTGATTATCTATCTTCGACAGATGTTATTAGGGGTTTTACTGATTTGTTTCGTTCATCCAGAATTACAGTTAAAAACAATTCACGCATTAGGAATATTTCCTGCATCGCAGGGGATTTTACAAACATTCATGAAACAGTCACAAAGAACACCCAGACTCAGAACAACAATTTGTGGATCAAACCCACAACACTCAGCGCAGTAGGAAGCGTCTAGGTGACCGCTTTAACCACTTCGCCATCCGTGCCATCCCTTGGTCTAACTAATTGAAATGTGTAAGGCATACTTACCTGCACTGTGACAATTATTCTTAGCGGGAAAGTGTATACTGTACACGGACCACTAAAAATAATTAAGTCTCATTTACTTAGTAGATACTAGCCGTCGTCTGTGTGGTGACGTACTTATTGAGAATACATAGTGTCGCCACCCCTATTCATCAACAGCACTGCAAAGAAATGAAACCATCCCTTTACCAACCCGTCTGGACAACGTGGTATAATAGACAAAAACCTCATTTCTAAGGAGAGGCCCATGTCCGCAGTTCAATATTAGAGGCTGTTGATGATAACTAGGCGTTTGTTGATAGGGTTATTATTTATCTACTTAGTTATCAAAGAAAATATAAAATCAAATGAATAAAAATGACAAATTTATTTAGTTAAAAAAAATCAAGTAATCCTCCGTCACCTTTGACACTGACAGTTTTTATAACAAACAACCTCAGCGTTTTATAGCAATACCAGAGCTCTCAATCTTTTGTAATAGTATCTAAAATAATAAAAAAGAACTAAAATAATGTGCTTGTAATACTGTATTTGCGATCGGGTATAACACCGTAATGTTGGAACTGACTCGTTGCCGCCACTTACTGGTAAACGTTTTAGGAAACGAAATCAACGTGATTTTATTAATAATTAATAATTTATAATTACTATAATTCTCTAAATAATACAAGAAAATTAATAATAAAGAACTTAAGCCAAAAATATTGCCCGAAAATATGATAGCTACTTCGTCCACTTTTTTTTGACAAATCGGTCTTCGATAGATGGCGAAGACGCCACAACGTTCTTGAGTAATTATTAAAAAAAAAAGGATGGCCAGGGTACAGTCGCTTAATCTCACAAGCTATTACTAGAGGAGATATGTTATTATTTTAGTTTTTACGAATGCTATAGGTACAATGATAAACTAATACTAGATATATTCGGTCTCTGATAAATACAATGTACAGTATTATCACGGAATTGACTCCGTAAATAATTATTTTACTTTATAAATTGCACAAAAAATAATACACCACACGGACTCATTCCTTAGCTTCTCGAAATGAGACGGCTTTAGAGTTCTTTAAATTTTATTTCTTTACAATGCAAGAAAGTAGCCGCGTTTAGGATTTATCCTATTTAGGCCTTTTGTGATACAAAAAAACTTTTGTGAAACAGTATCCAGCTATGACCCATTGGCAATTATTTTCTCTTTGACTTCTTTTATCATCAGCTTTACGAGTTCGTCAAGATCAACTTGTGGCTTCCAGTTCCAGTCGCGTCTTGCTTCACTGTCATCGAAAACTTGCGGCCACGAATCAGCTGCAATGTAAACATAATTTTATGTTAATATGTATCAGTTTTAAATATTTGCTATAAAACAACTAACATTGGAAGTTAAGAGGCACCGGTGATTGTTGAACGCCAAAACAGACTCAAAATATAGAATCTATTTTGAATGTTACATAGTTATGCGTCTGTATTCCTCACAGAAAATATAAAAATCCTTAGGTATGGTATAAACCAATGACCATATCTACTGTAAAGATAGCCAATAGCCATAAAGGGAACGGTGTGCAGAGGTTTTGTTCTATCGGGCAATTATATTACACTAGGTATATCCTATACTACTTGCAATAAGCCTTTCCATCCGACAGAAAAAAACTTATGATATGTATCCATATTTTAAGTTCATATTAACAATAGTTTATTTATAGTAACAATAGTTTCCTGGCTCGAAAGTTAAATTAACATATTAAACACATCAATAGACATAAACATCGTTCTAACATAACCTATCACTCACTTGGGTATGGATCGGTTTATCTCGTTTAAAATTAAGAATAGATTAACGACTGAGACACCTTTTAAAATACGGGCCTTAATGTGTTATTATTGCAATAGTAATCAGAACCAAAAGACAATATTTGTGGAATGCTTTTACGCGCTCACTACTAGCAGCACAGTCAATTGACATACTTCAACTTTGCCACAATTTGACGGTCCGCAAATGATGCATAGTATTACGTTAGGTAATAATTCACTCTTTCTAGGGTATACCTGGTTCCACCGATATTAGTACCCGAGACGGCGTGCGGTTTTAGTCGGTTCGAGTCCGACATGCCACCGATAGGTGGTATCCGAGGGGATTTCCGCACGGAAAAAAAAAAGGTATTAATTCACTATGATGAACAAGAGGCAGGCAAATCATCGCGTGATAAATTAGCGAGAGAGTTAAACGTCGAATGAGAGAACGCATTAACAACATTTTGATTTAAACTAACCTTCCGATTGTTTAACGACTTCAAATCAATGATATTAACCCACCTATGAAAAAATCGTCACGCGTTTTGTTTTGAATATGGGCTTTTCGAGCGGTCGTTATCAATACCCACAATAAACAGTCGATTTAACCAATTTACACGAATGTGATTGTAAAGAAAATTGCAGGATTGTTATTGGGCATTCTGTCCCATGAAGCAAAGGCGTAAGATTGAGCGAATCAGTGAGACAGAATGCAAAATACTATACTACTTTAGATTGTTTATATGGCATCCATATTCTAAAAGTCATGAGCATTATTGACTTATTTAATTATGTCAGGGCCTTTCTTTCCTAAATCTAGTATTTGCAGTAGAAGAAACATATGATAACTTTCCCGCCCGTAATTAGATCTGACTACTATCTTATGAACTTGACTCTTGACGTCATTGTCGACATCTAGGTAGGTAATCATTTCACAAGGACTATTTTGAATGTCACACTTACCGAATTTATATTAAATGACGTCATGAATGTTTGGACTATTATTTAGGTATTTCCAAATCAAGATTGTCAAATTTACTAAGCAATCTAATACGCAGGTATGACTCGCTTAGTCATGCCTTTCATATGATTTAGTTACAAATATTTTACCTTTTTTTTGTGCGGAAATCCCCTTGAATACCACCCACCGGTGGGGTGGTTAAGTCAAATGCCAAAAACCGCACGCCGTCTCGGGTATCAGTAGCCGAGGAACCAGGTGTACCCTAGAAAGGAAATCCCTGGTACTACACGCCACCCCGGCCTTCTTCTGCTAGGGTAACAGATGGCCTCAAGTGTCACCCCCTGGAGGACGGAGGTCGTGTTGCAAGTTCTAAACCTCTCCCGGTCCCGCTCTGCCATCACCTTCGCAAGCATAACTTACTCGCAGAAGGAGACGGCGGAGTTCCACGCAGTCTCGCTCTGAACCATGACGGCTATCATGTTACTGAGCTATAGAATTCCCACTTCGATGGCCGCCACGAGGTCACGCTTGCATTCCGCAGTGTGTGGAGCGTCGTGTAAACGGTCCGGCCATCGCAGTGGCGGCACTCAGGCGTTGGCTCCTTGCGGATCAGATACAGGTGATCTCCGAAGTATTCTTTCCCGGTGATCACCTGCGTCAGCCACTATGGGAGGGTTCCGTGACGCCTCTCGAGCGTGTAAAAACTAGCTAAGTGCGTGTTAAGGTCGCGTGGAGTGAGTTCCGCACGATGAATAACATACACAATAACTATAGGTACTAAGCGAAGCGGTAAATAGGCTTGTTAAGTCGATCGAATAGAGTTAAGCAATCATCTAATGTAGGTATGCGTATGCCACCGCTGACTATGCAACGAATGATGTGCGTCATAGTTTAAACTGCACAACTGAAGATTAGTAATAAGTTTATATTATAACTGTATATAATATTTTAATTGTAAATAAGTATTGTAGTAAATTTTAACCAATAATCGTTGTTTTTCATGAACAAATATTGTTAACGTAATAAACTCGCTTGTAGTAATCCCCAACAACATACAAATTTCAACATACATACATGTTCCTAAATATATATATATATTTGTAAAGATTTTTTTGAATGTCAGACTAGTTTCGTAGAAATATTAAATGGATTTTCGTCTAGGTTTTTTTTATTAAATAATTAGAGACCTTGACAACTGATATGCCACACAGTAAAATATGCATATTTTAAATTTACTTAACTAGTGCTCTTACATGGGTTCCCTTTTTTCATTGAGACTTACGGAACCTTTATATTTACATACGTTGGCTGTTTATAAAATTTCAATGAACTAAGTTCTACATTTGTTTAACCACCAAAAAATTGTTTGACCTCGCAATCTCTGCGAGATCAAAAAATTTTTTGGTGCAACTTTTTTAAGCTTGATTTTATTCTGAATAATTTGCATTCTTCTTATTCTTCATTCTTGATTAAAAGTTTAGTAGTATTTCCCGTTTACGTATACAAACTAATTTGTTTTTTTTTACATTTTTCGAATCGTGTTTTTTTTTATGTAAAACATCTAAGGAGTATAGATGTGACAAAATCACAGTGAACTGTGAATGAACGGTGATTTATATATAGTAATTAAAAAATACTAGATTTACTGTAAAAATATCGCCTAACTTACCTACCTAGCAACCCTAAGCCACGTACTCAAAAATCGAATGATAAATCAGAGTTCACTGTGATTTTGTCCCATGTCTACTAAGGAGGGTCGGACTGGCTGTTGCCGCGATGCATCGCCATGGTATGCGTCGCCACGCTTTGTGATAGTATACGTAACATGGTGTGGCAACGCATCGCCATGTGCAAGTGACTCTACCACTATCTTCCCACTTAACTTTTTAATTACTATAAGCAATCTTGATTATATTACAATACAATGATTATATTACAAATTATTTTTTCGTAGCTGTTTATTTACGTGTTAATGTTTACATAATTAACACGTCACTACACCGAAGACCTGCCAGAAGTTAGCATTGACGAAATCGAGATGGCTCTTGGACAGCTGAAAAATGGAAAAGCCCCTGGAGAGGATGGCGTTACAACAGAGCTGCTGAAGGCCGGGGGTAAACCCGTACTAAGGGAGCTCCAAAAGTTCTTCAACGCTGTCCTGTTTGAAGGGAGAACTCCAGAAGCGTGGAGTAGGAGTGTGGTCGTTTTGTTCTTCAAAAAGGGTGACAAGACCAGGTTGAAGAACTATCGACCCATATCCCTTCTAAGCCACGTCTACAAGCTGTTTTCGAGAGTCATCACGAACCGTCTTGCGCGAAGACTCGACGAATTCCAACCACCGGAGCAAGCTGGGTTTCGGAGCGGATATGGCACCATAGACCACATCCACACAGTGCGGCAGATTATACAGAAGACCGAAGAATATAATCAGCCCCTGTGTCTAGCATTCGTGGACTATGAGAAAGCCTTTGACTCGATCGAGATCTGGTCTGTTCTGGAGTCCCTGCAGCGTTGCCAAGTAGATTGGCGATACATCAAAGTGATGAGATGTCTCTACGAAGCCGCCACCATGTCCGTCCAAGTACAGAATCAGCAAACAAGGCCCGTACCATTGCATCGAGGAGTGAGACAAGGGGACGTTATTTCCCCGAAATTGTTCACAAATGCAATGGAGGACATGTTCAAGACGCTGCACTGGAAAGGGCGTGGCATCAATATCAATGGCGAATACATCTCTCACTTGCGATTTGCAGATGACATCGTCATCATGGCAGAGACGTTGCAGGACCTACAGCAAATGCTGAATGACTTAGCTGACACTTCTGTACGCATCGGCCTACGGATGAACTTGGATAAAACCAAGGTCATGTTCAACGAACATGTACTACCGGAACCGATTGCGGTACACGGTGCCGTTCTCGAAGTTGTTCAAAATTATGTGTACCTCGGGCAGACATTGCAGTTAGGTAGAAACAACTTCGAGGACGAGGTGAACAGAAGAATTCGGTTGGGTTGGGCAGCGTTTGGGAAGCTACGTCGAGTCTTCTCATCGTCGATCCCACAGTGCCTTAAGACGAAAGTCTTTAATGAGTGCGTCCTACCCGTCATGACATACGGAGCTGAAACGTGGACACTTACGGTACGGCTGGTCCACAAGTTCAAAGTCGCTCAACGTGCTATGGAAAGGGCTATGCTCGGCGTTTCTCTAAGGGATCGCATCAGAAATGAGGTGATCCGGCAGAGAACTAAGGTCACCGACATAGCGTACCGGATCAGCAAGTTGAAGTGGCAGTGGGCTGGCCATATTAGCCGCAGAACCGATAACCGTTGGGGAAAACGAGTTCTTGAGTGGAGACCGCGTCTCGGCAAACGTAGTGTAGGACGCCCACAGGCCAGGTGGAGTGACGATTTGCGCAAGATGGCTGGCAGGAGCTGGATGCGAGAAGCCCAAAATCGATCTAAGTGGCGTGCAATGGGAGAGGCCTATGTCCAGCAGTGGACTGCGATAGGCTGATGATGATGTTTATTTACATTTATTATTTCTACAAAATAATTTCGATGTTTTACATCGGTCAGACGTCCCACGACGACTAAATTTTACAGTCAACAGTCAAGTTTTCAGTAAGAGACTCATTAAAAGTATTATTTACTAAGTATTTAGTAGTTTTATGAAGGCTTATGTTTGGTATGTTCTTAAAAAGAACTGTCATGAAGATTATGGAATCTTCGCAAGTCTACTTCATTACTTTCTTATACCAAACTTAATATTTTTCTTATCTGCGTATACATGCGTATGCTTAATATACGAGTAAAAAAACGTTCCAGGGGTACTTGACCCGTTACTTGGCTCTAACAAAAAAAAATAGCAGTTAAAGTTGAATATTTCGCAAACGGCTCACTGAACCGAAAAATAGTCTTGACGACAAATTGGTGAAAGTTTAGACTCGTAATTTCCCTATTATTTATTTTATAGAATCCTACAATTGCTTCTCAGTTCCGTCTGCGGTATCATAATCATACAGCTTTCAACACAAAGAAAATGTGCGAAATATTAGCCTGAAGAAGTTATAAGCAACTACGTTGTCACTAACTAGTGTTTATAGGAGTACAACTGACTCACCTATATCTTGCCTGCTGTCAGGCCTGTACGTGATCTTCAGTTCAGGCAAATATGCAGCCATTTTATCTGTTAGCTCTTCTGGCGTGAAATCCATTGCGGTAACATTGTAAACTCTTCTAGTAAGATTTTCATTAGGAACAGCAAGGTATTCAGAGAGCGCTCGTAAGGCATCTTTGACGTGCATCATTGGGAGCCGTGTGTCCGGTTTTAAGTAGCACTCGTAGTGACCCTTGCGGAGAACTTCGTGGAATATTGCGATTGCATAGTCTGTAATTGATAAATGAAATCCTTGACCCTGTGTTGAGGATTTAAAGAACAATGTCAAGTCTCAAAATTACCTACAGAATATGAGAATAAATAATAGTGCTGGGTTAAAGTAAGTGAAGTATCTATTAACACGTTAACAGCGCAGGGCTAAATCTGAAAGTGACGCCTCACGTGCAAACATGTTTTACGGAAATTTGATAAGATAGGCGTAGGTAATGACGTATAAAATACGAAAAAGAAGAAATAAACAGCCCTTTATCATTTTTAAAGTATTTTTTACGTGCACCACATGTGGTACACTTACGTGCACGCTATAGAATTAAAGATCTTTATAACATAACAAGAGTTAAAATGGCTAAAGAGCGCACAGATAAAATTGTGATAAAATGATTTAAAACAAAACTCAAAATAAGAAATGAAAAAAAGACAAACGTTGGCAAATCAAAAAGTTATGCCGCTCGGTTAGCACGTACGGACAGTAATGCGGGTTTAAGTAAAAAGTTTTCAAAACTATAACAAGTCTTTATGTATTCGTGACGCTCCGCTAATAGCTTGCTATGCTGTTGATGAGATTTTATTTTTGGTTTTTATCGATCCCTTTTATAATTTATTTAAACTATTTCCTATTAAAATTTTGTTTTCAACCTCGATTGCCCAGCAACACTGACGAACATTCGGTCGGTTTTTGGGCATTTTACTGTATGGTTCGTGATGTCTATTGGTGCAAACTGAAAAAAAAGCATTCAATTTAGATAGACTCGTGACCCATTTGTGGCGCACGAACCTGTGATGATGTCGTCATAGTTGCCCACTTGTGGTACATGCATTGTGAACGTGGTTATTTAGACTTTCCTGTTTAAATTTCTTCTTTTTCCTTGGACAAATTTAAATCAATTTCAAATTATTGTGTCAATTTTATTTGTTTTTTCTTCTTTACTTTATCTCTATTTGTAAGTACTTTGTGGAAGTTTGTGAAAAAATAAAATTGGACTTGGTATAAATTCGTTTTAGGACATGACCTGGGTAACGGATGCTTTTCGATACTGCTTTTCCTTTATTCTTCTTGTTTAATGCAAAACATAATTATTTAGATATAAACTCTTTTATTCTCACAAAAAAATAGTGAAGACCGCAGTAAGTTTTATATTGTAATAAAATATTATTTAGTCATATACTCATATATTAATTTAATATAATATGTATGTATTTAAAAATATATAAGTATGTTTTCAGCAGTCTGGTTACCATATTGCAGGCTCTGCCTAGTTTGGGACCAGACGGCCGTGTGTGAGATGTGTCAAGTTATTATTATTATTAATTTGTTACAAATAAGCTAATACATCTGAATAAATAATAACTTCGTCAAGGTTCCGCAATGTCTCGCATGAATAAACGAAAAGCAGTAGGTATTTGACGATACGTAACTAACTAAGACCTTGAGCAGTCCGTTACCGTACCGGTTTGAAGACAAATTGTATTTTGCCAAAATAATATTCGATTTAGAACCAGGCCCAATATTTTTACTGTTTACTTTACTTTAACCTTTCGGTGACTCTGTTTTTTTTGGTATAAGGAAGAGGAAATAACTTTGGTTTCCCTTTCTCTAAAATAATGTTGCATACTTGTCCAATTATGGCTACCAATTAGTTTTGGAACAAACCACATTCCTATCAGACATGCTTTGTTATTTGTTGTTCCTTCCTGTAGTAAATCATAGCGACGGTTTCCGTTTCCGAAACTTTTAGATACTATATGGCTATAACAATAGTTTTCTTCTAATTAAATGTTAATTTTATTTAAATATCTAAATGCCTATTAAAATATCAAATGTCGAAGAATTTTCAGAACTGCTCTTATTTAATAACTGGACTCTTAGAATAACAAAAAAATAGTATGTATTCCATTGAAAATCGAAACTTAATTAATGATAAATTTTTGATATATTCTTTTAATTATCCGTAAAACTTACTATACCTATATATATAAACCTTACTATGATCACGTCATTTACCGATATACTGACAGTTCTTCATACAGTATTGTACGTAAAAATGCAGTTAAATTAGTGACTAAGCATTACTTATTAACTGATCAAAACGAATGAAATAACACTTCCCTAAATGTCATAGTAATCGAGTTATATAATATCCCCAAAAAAAAAACAATGTCAGCGCTAATAAGATTTTTACAGACATTTAGTATTAAATCGCTAATTTGTTTGTCAGACACTAACACAATATTAGTTGTGTGAATATACTAGTTTCAGATCTATCTTTAGTCTTAATAAGTAAGAAGAATGAATGATTATTATATTTACCCTTGTCACAGTTATCATACAGTGAGAACATTTTGTCCATCGCCTCTCTGGCTTACATCCGGGCCATATTATCTTTTACAAAGACCCATACATCGCTTGCATAATTCTATATTTTATCAAATTCTACTTACTTCTCCTTATATGTATCATTGCCTTTAAAATTTACCTGTAGTTCCACCGCCGGGTGGGTCGCTAGATATGACGCCAGGGAATCTCAAACAACGGAAATCCAAGCCGAATTTATGATAATAATATTCACCCATCAACTCTGCATGCACTTTAGATACACCATAGATTGTCCTTGGTCTTTGTATCGTTATGTTAGGCGTAGGATTTCTAGGCGAATCGGGACCGAAAGCCCCTATTGTGCTAGGTACAAAGATTCTTAGATTATACTGTTTGGCGAGTTCTATAACGTTGTGAACACCTTCTATATTCACTCGCACAGCTAAAGAAACATTTTGCTCGCCGATTGCACTAAGAAGAGCCGAAAAATGGATAAGCCAGTCCACTCTATGATCGACCACGATTTTCTGTAGTCCTTTGAAATCTAAAATATCTACGAATATGTAAGGGCCGTCATTGACTATATCTTGAGTCGGTTTGATAATATCGGAGAGAATAACGTTATCCCGGCCATACTTTTTTCGTAGATACTTCGCGCATTCGACGCCAAGCTGACCGAGGCCACCTGTAATAATAACAGATAATTGGACTAATTTTTTATTAGTTTAGGGTTGTTAGTAATTCTAATTATAAATATTTTATGCATCTTTTGATATGTTCACAAATAACTAGTAAGTACAGTCGGCATCAAAATTATGTAAGCATGCAAAGTAATTAAAATAATTTAAATAATAAAAAACATTTCTGTCTGTACTGTCCAAATTGTTTTAAGTAATGAGAATGGTAAATATTTTGATATCCGTTAATGTTTTCATTTTTATTCTTAGAATAATCCATTCAATACTCTATGCATTAGTAGAGATAATGAAAGACTAAACAGAAATCAGACTAAACACTAAAGTATAGATAAATAAAATGTAACAGCGTACTCAAGAAAGCTTATGAGTTATGTTTTGGCTGCACGGGTAGAAACGTTTTGTTTGTATGGATTTGAAAGATTGCAATTGTTAAGGGAAGACAAGGTTTTAACAACACAGTCAATATCTACATCATACGATTTAACACATAACTTGTATCAAAAGATTTTAAACTTTCATCACTTGTAAACATATCAGAAGTGGGTCTGATAAATGTTTTTGGCTGTTTGGCACTTATCCGTGACAACTATCTGTGAAATGCAGACGAACGTTAGCATACCTTCTTAACATTATCGCAAAGAGGTCACGATTTTAACCTCAAATGCAAAGAAGGATTGTTTTTATATTTTACTCTTATCACTAACAAGTATTTGATGACATAAGGATCAAGCGAAATTTACATGATTAAAATGCACCTAAGTACCATCAACCATATATATATATATATATATATGCTTACTGCGTGCTTACAATATGAAAAGCATTGGCTGTCAAAATTACAAGTTTGTAACCCCAGCAGTTTAGGCTCTGCGCTGATAAATCTGTTATTCGGTGCAAGTCATTTTAATGGTATAGATTAAATAGACGTTAATTTTACATTTCGTTCCGCGTGAAAGTAAACAGACTTAGCTAAACAGAAGCATTTAAGTATAGTGATTGTAAAATCAACCTTTAAAATCCTCACAATCTTTCCCTTTCGAAATCCTCATAATCTTTCCCTTTCAAAATCCTCACCATCTTTTATTAAATTTAAATAGGCAATAGATTAAAAAACAAACACATTTGAGTATTTGTTCGTAAATGATGTTACTTTTGACTTTCCCCATTTAAATAAAACCGAACTCAAATAAAAACGAAACGACATTGAAATGACGTCACGCAGAAAATAAAAGTGTAACGTAAAGTAGTAGTGAAGGTGATCTTACCTTTACTAGTTTCAATAATTCAGATTAGATGTTTATGTTCTAAATTCATTGAACCAGTGTAACTGGATCCACAATTTTACAAATTATTTAAAGTATAAACATGATTACATTGTCATTAAAATAATAATCATCAACAGCCTTTAGTCCATTGCAGGACATAGGCCTCTCCTTAGAAAAGAGGTTTTGACCTACTATACCACGTGACGCTGGTATAGGGTTGGTGTCAAGTTTTCCTTTTCTTTGCAGTGCTGTTGTCCTGCGTAGTTCTCCCTCAGTCGACTCTTAATTGTCGATGACTAGGGGTGGTGAAACTCCGTATTCTTCATATATCAGCACCCGGAGAAACATAACATAAAATTGAAAACTCGCTTGCTAACGTAATATTCGCCACGCTGAATGCTTCCAACAATTTACATATTCTGACATTAACATTACATAATATAATATAATTGAATTATTGTCTATGAGATAATTTTGTCTACTTTGTATCCGTATTTAAATCTAATGTTGACTGTAGTGATCAACTGTGTTTGCTTCTGACATCGATATATCTATAAAAGGAAACTGAAAAGCATGAAATTTTGCACAAAAGTTCCTTGGGTTCCGTAGGTGTGCACTAAGAAAGAATTTAAAAAAATGCCACGCCTAAGGGAAAATGGAGGTTAGAAATTTATCTGAAACTTCTTTATTTTTGGTAGTAGCGTTTTAAAACTCATAGTAAATACTCTTTACTAAAAGTAATAAAAAAAACATTGATAATAATTTTTCAAAACAGGTACAAACTTTGTTAATCCTATCGATTCCAATCTCTCAGTACCTATAATTATATTCTCTACCAAAAATAATAATTAGACAACTATTTTTTAATTTTTCAAAACGTAAGTATGTTTCAGTATTGTATGAGTTTCAGTATTGTTTGAAGTCGGTTCAACTTTTTTTAAAGGATTTATTTTACCATTTTTAGTTTAAGATATGTTTGTAATGAGTAGATAAGTACGATATTTAAAACAGTACCATAATGTAGTACCAAACTGTAGTATGTTAGATTAAATTGAATATAGTTTAATAAGCCCGTTACTTTATTTAGATGAGGTAGTAAGATGTTACATTTAAACCCGAAAACATATTGTTTTCCACATTACTTAATTTTCCAAAATTTAAAAATCGGTCCTCAATTGACGGAGAAATCGCCTAACAAACATACAAAAAAAAAACAGAGGGATTGATAACCTCCTGTTTTGTGTTTTTCAAGTCGGTTAAAAATATTTTTACACTGCCGACAAAACTAGTGTTGAATTCTTTAATTTAACACTAGTATTGTCTTTACAAGTGACTAGGTAGTGACCTTTTTTAAAGTAAGTAAGCAGACAAAATACATTCTTTGGTTTTTACAACCTCACCCTTCGTGTTTTACAGTTGAGTTTGTTTAAACGTAAAAGTTACATAATTTTATGGCTTTACTCATTTTGGTATAGTTATCAAATACATATACAAATGAAAAGCAAACTTCAATAGATTATTTAATAAATATATTACCGATTTACCGTTCTGAAATTCTCGTTGATCATCTCTCTCAATTTACACGCCCCCCACTAGTCACGTCAGCAGCGACGACTATACAATTCTTATAAATATTTATAGAGGCGTGGCATTTTGGCCATGAAGCCTCGATTTATACAAAGCAAATACGCATCAATATTATAATATGGCTTATGACGCAGTATTATAACACGTAAGTGTGTCGATCTATGAAAAACACTACGTCTTCAACGGAATCCTAATATACGCAAATAGTTGGGATTTCCACAAGTACCTACCTAATCATGTTTTGCATTTAACACTGCGCCGCTGTGTGATGAAAATGTTTTTATCTCCTTCGACAAAACCTAAATATTCATCTGTCTGCTGTAGATTACTATTACTTGTTGGTTATTGAAGCTGAACATGACAGAAATACCTACTATATGATTACTAAAGCACACAGTTTAGCTATCAGCACTGTAACTGTCCGTTACATACTTACATAATATAGAAGTACAAATACAGGAAATGCATTAATTATTCAAATATTTTATTATTTTTCCTTTTTAAATTAAACAAGGTAGAAATTAAAACTATACTTTTATATCTTTAGCCTGAGCATTAAAATTTAAAAGAGATCTCTATCTCTTTTAAATTTCATCTCGAAATTTGTTTAGTTAAGAATATAGTTGCAGTAATATTTCATTGCACTTTTGATAAACCGCATAAATATTCATAATTTTTTCTTTTCCTTCGAGTCTTTTTTCCAAACTAGGTTGGTGTTGGCTTTAAATCTACTACAATACGGTTGAACTTCGATTGTTTGTATGGCAACCGGAACCAAAGGCTCAACGTGCTCTCCGAGACACGAAGGAGTCTCAATGTGTTAAGAAGGGTCATCCATCCATAGACTGACCTGGCTAGGATTGCTCAACTTACTACCTACTCGATTACCACTTAGCCACGAGCCCCTCTATAAATATTCATAAATATTTTACATAAATGTTTGCACCTCCTACCGCAATTATAGTATTCTATACGTAGGTGCGTATACAAGTTATAAGTTAGGTATTATATTATTTTATTAATCAAAAATGTTAAGCAAGGAAGTTGTAATTCTATAGCGCAGCGTATAACTCTTTAACTAGCTATCTAAGTAACAACACAATAAACGCGTCTAATACTTTATATTTTACTTATTTTATCGCTTTACGTTGTCCGTGGTGACGGATTAAGAATACGGAATGTCACCACCCCTATTCAACCCGTGGGTGTCGTAAGAGCCGACTAAGGGACCAAACTACGCAGGACAACAGCACTGCAAAGAAAAGGAAAACTTGAAACAAACCCTTTACCAACCCGTCTGGCCAGCGTGGTATAGTAGGCCAAAACCTCGTTTCTAAGGAGAGGCCTATGTCCAGCAGTGGACTGTTATAGGCTGTTGATGATGATGATTATCGTTTTAGGAGCATTTTATTCTATCGTTAAGTGTAAAACCGCTGTAATACAAATTGACAGTTTATCAAAATTCCAACCATCTATTTATCCAATAAAATTTCTACATGTTCTACCGGTTGTGTCTACTTAGTGACTGATCCACCGGAATGCATCATTCCATTATCAAACGACCACTCTCACTGCGCTCTCACGCTCAAACTCTATCATAAATCAGTGTAACTTTTACTTCAGTCACAGCTATGGTCAGTAATGTAGTATTACAAACTTTAGATTACACAATGCGCTATGCATGCGTCGATCTTACATGAATACCTTCACTCGTGTGAGAGAACGTTATTAAACTGAATTTATAAAATAAAATTTAAATTATTTGAATTTATTTCTAGGTTGACAAGGTCATTCTTATTATTTCTATAAACTAAAATATATTTTTTTCCGTTATGCATTTTACTAAGTATTTAAAATATATAACCATCAATTTTAAAATAAATTTTAATTATTCTTACCAGTTATTAAAATCTTAGGAGGACTTTTCAACAAATTGTTTTGTGAATAATTTCTAATATTTAATTTAACACTAGTCCTATACAGATTCCGGAGAAACATTTTCACGTTGCCTGGTGTAAACCACGACACGATAAATCAGTGTATTATTCAAGCATTAACTACAGAACACAGAAGCAGAACACTACAGCCAAACAGAAAAATTTCAACTTCACACGACAACATTGGAACAAATTGCGAATTTACCGCCATCTCTGTCCTTATCACATTAAACTATGAAAGACAGAAATTTTGCACACATGAAATTACTATTTGACAGTAATGATTAATTTTGAAGAAGTCTCGATCATTTCTAGTAAAATTCTAAAGTTAAAAAACTTTTATTTCAAGACTATAAATGATTTGGATGCCCAGAATATTAAATCTCTGTCTAAAAGTATTTTCTAATTACTTTGGAAGATGCAGAAATTTAAAATTATTTTGGGATTCAGAATTATGTGTTTCTTTTTATTTAAGTACTTGAAAGTTTTAAAAATTGTTAAAACACTACTAACCATTATAAAAAATCAAATCAACAATTTGCTTGCAACACAGAACAATCCCCAATAGGTATCATCGTAATTCTTTCATTCAAGGCCCCGTCGGTCGCGTGAGGTAAAAACAGGTTATAGATCATTAGGTAGTTATAAATGTGTGTGTGTGTGTGTATGCATTCAGTCGTAATATGAAACTCGTGATTTCGTAATTTAAGCTATATTTTTATGATTGTAGGGTATAGTTACGTAGTTCGCATAATCGGTGGGTGTGTCAAGTCAGTTTTCAGACTATATCTTTTAAGGAAGACAATACAAAAAATATTAGCATTGCATTCGCTTTTAGCCTGAATAACTCACGTGAGATATTACATATATTCTAAGGTTCATATTTTAAATATCGACTAAATTGCTATTATTCATTCCTAGAGTGTTATTACAACACATAAAATAATAAGTATAACTATTACCCTAAAAACTACAAAACTTTACATACTTACTGAGTAACAAAATTTTCGGAATGAGACTGGCTCTAACGACACTGGATATATACTTGTTTAATCACGTAATTAACTTGTAAAGTTTATTTACACTAGCTGGTGCCCGCGACTTCGACTTCGCTTTAGTGGGTTCGATTCCCGGACCGGGCTAATAATTTTTCATTTTTCTGCGACAAAAAATATCCTAAGTTACTCATTATATAGACAGTTACCTAGTAGTAAAATATTATCAAAATCGGTAAAGCCGTTTTGAAGATTACCTTACAGTTTAGAGCAAACAGACAGACAGACAGACGAAAAATATTTAAACTGGTTTTGAGGCATAGGTATATCATGCCAATAACTGTGTAAGCAAACCTTTTGATATTACAAACAGACACTTCGATTTGTTTTATTTGTATAAAAGATGAGCAAATAGGATTTGGTATGTAGAAGCAAAGCTTCAAAGCAACCATAATTACTAGGTGAAGTACCTAGTAATTATGGTTGCTAGAGCTAAACTAGTGTAGTGTTGTATGTATGTTTCTGTGTAGGGTCTTGATCTCTTCCCTCATTGGTATATCTAATTAATTTTTACTCGTATATTCGTTAGGATATTTCTGGACCTCACCGTGGACCGGTCACCTGAACACAGGGCCTACCAGACGGTCTATCAAATTATCAGTTTAAAATGTAAGTCTAACATTCGAAATCTAAACTTGTCTTCTTCATAGTGAATTGCTTCCTTCTTGTGGAGTTTTGGATATTTTACTTTTATCATATTCTCAGTATTTGAATTGCAAAACAAAAGTCATTGCCAAACATTCAAACTGTGTCTGATCTCAGTCGTCGTTCTCTCACAGATAAACGTAACCTAGACAAGGTCACTTACAACAGCACAATCAAATTGCTGTAGACTAACACACGTTTAGGTATTAAGCGATTGACCAACGTCTGACATCAAACTGCTCACTACATGTACACATAAAGGTCGTCAATGTTTGGCGAACACGTGACCATCATCTATACGGTTAAATAAAATTGAAGTGTATGTTTGTAATGTCATAATAATAGGTTTTTCATGCTCACACGGTTATTTGCAAGATAGCTATGCCCAATAACTAGTTGGAATATTTGTTGTTTGTCTGTCTGTTTGTTACGGGTAATCTTCAAAATGGGTAGACCGATTTTTTCATATTTTACTACCAGGTAGCTATCTATGCAGGGTTGATGGTTAAATCGACCTAGATACTGTAGAGGATTGTAGTGGTCATTATTGCTAATAGATTTCAATACGAAAAACCATATCCTAAACCTTTCCCAAACTCGAAGACAATTTCAAGATACTGGACTTTTAGGATTTTTTATAAAAATTGCCGAAATTTAGCCTAACGCATTTTTTTTTAACTTAGTTATATCCTCAATTACTTCTTTTTTTGTCTTTTTTTTATTTAATTTTCATTACCAAATTGTAGTTAACTTAATCAAAGTACTCATTTAAGTAGAAAAAAGCAAAAAAAATGTGAAAACTTTTTCTTTCTTTGACGAATATTTAAAAATCCGTGACGATTAAGTTGCAGACGTAAAAATATCTAAGTATTGTCAGCTACCTAACAAGGTATAATAGTATTAAAATTCATTTATAAAAACTTAAATGAATGACCAGGAGTATTAGGAATTAGCGTATAACCCGGTAGTACCCAGTAGAAAACTATGCTTGTATTTTTGGACTCTTTCCTTTGCAATTCGTGGCTAACTATTACTAACTGAACTTTGATTTGAGGTTCTGATACTTTTGAAGATGACGACATGTGCGAAATGTGATAATTAGAATCTAGCTATTCTTTTACCCTTCTCGTGTGTTCAATCATCATGTTGAGAACGATGCCACAAATGAAATTAAGTGGTAAATCATCAAGTAAGTTAGTTTAACCTTGTTTCCAAAAAATTTTCGTACTGTTTTCGGGGAGAACAAAAGATCCAATCCGCTGGTTTGACAATATACATCTACACATTCAAATTAAAGCGTCTTTGTGGCTACACATATATGTCAGTGCAACTACAATTATAGTGATGAAAATTACAAAACAATGTATCAACTACATAAAAACAGTAAAAAAACCTAAAATAAAGGGTTTAAGTTATAAAATAAAAATATTAAGCAAAATTTCGCATATTTTTATAAAAAATCTTAAGTCCCATATCTTGAAAATGGATAGGTTTGGAATATGGTATTTCATAGTGAAATCTATCAGAAATGATGGTAACTAAAAGCTCTTAAAGCATCTAGGCCGACTTAAAAAGTAAGAAGTAACTTAGGCTATTTTTACTCTCAGAAAATCCTATTAAAATTTTGCCCTGTCCGGTAATCGAATCCGAGACCTTATGGACTGCAGTCGCGTACCGTACTACACCACTAAGGCAACGTTTTTCAAATACCACGCCAAAAAAGTGGCGGGTACCAGCTAGTGAGTAATATAAATATGTGTCTACAAAAATAGGTAGGTACTCGTGTGCTAGGAACCGGAAAACGTGTTCATCTATGAACACGTGATGAATATATTATTGACGTTGGTCATGTATACTTTAAATCCCGGGCACGTTAAAGTCACTGTTTTTTATAGATCTCTAAGAGATACTTCATATATTTTAATAACAAATTCTTGATTATCAATGTATCGCGATCAAATGGCTTTCAATTGTGCTCAAATCAGGGAGCTACCTGACTGATTATTTTCTTGCACTTTCAGTGTCAAAACCTACCTACATTTACATTTTAAATGTCTTATACTGTTTATAAACAATTGATCCATTTGATTTTTTTGATTGGCAAGGAAATACAAGTTTATTGCAACGAACGTCGGCACAATTCCAGTGGCCGTTTTTTTGCCGTACCGTGTACATGACAACAAAATTTTCTATAATTCTTTATTATTATCTCCTTATTTTTAGCCTACATCACTTGAGTACTGATTATAAACTTTTTCCTTGTACCGCTTATCCTTCTCGTATTGATAAAGAATAAATGGTTTTACTCACTCCATACATTAGGGCTACCGCGTACCGGAAAAGCAGCGTGGGTGATCCAACGATCTGGTGGAGACGCGGGAAGCTGTTGGATGCGAGCAGCACAGGCCGGTTGTTGCGGCGACCCTTGTTGGCGTATTTCGGCTGAGATGACAATGATGACGATCATATCTCCTTTTCATTATTTATTAATTTACCCTTACTCTATATTGCGATCCACCTCACCTTCATTTTTGATAATTGTGGTTCAAAAATGTAGATTCGCATTTTTTCGTGATACGCGAGGCAAGGTCAAGCTAAGATATAGGTATTATTAATCGAAATCAACAGGATGTTATCATGTTCAGAATTCGCAAACAACTTTTAACTTGTTTGACTTATTTTTATTATGCAATCATTCATTTCATTCAGTCAAATTGCTTCCTGACTCCTGTATCAGCAGGATGGCGTCCCCCGGGAGCCAGAGATCCGAAGGGATTTTCCACCCCGTCACCAAAAAAAAAGGTTCAGCTTCCATTACGTACGACGAAAAAAAACGTTATGAGATGCTTATGTAAGGAACCTAGGTATTATACCTACAACCTATTCCAGGTAGTAATCCAACAATAACAATTAGTCGATAGTAGTTGTTTCAAACACCATGCCATATTTCCTAGAATAGGCCTGTCTATAGAATGTGCTGACAGAAAGACGTGCAAAACAATGCCACCGCCTAAATAGGTACCTATTAACTCGAACAATACTTTCAACGTCACTGTGTTCCGTCAAAGTACGTAATAATGTACATCTGGGTCTCCCTCTCTTACCCACCTCTTAAAATGTAAGTGTGATGATGATGTATTTAGAAAGAAATATCCGTATCTATTGTACAGCATATTGTCATAAGTATATGTACGAAAACATATGGTTTTTTATCTATTTATTGGCTCCTAGCCGAGCCCGCCATTATCGCGGCGGTAAGACCTGTTAGGGAGGATTGGCTCGAGAGGCATCACGGGTCCTTCTCATACCGGTTGACGCAGGTGATCAATCGAAAAGGATGCTTCGGGGATCACCTGTGTCA